GCTTGGGGATCAACTGCAGCAACACACCTAAAGCCAATAATAACCCAACAAAAAGCCGCAGTAAGAATAATCGCTAAATCCCATCCCTGGCAACACACCCCCTCCCACTCTTCATAGATCTAAACTTACTCTCTGTTCAGAACATCCACACTTACTACTGTGCAATCTACATCTACAGGACCTTAAATTCCAATATTAACCTTGACCTAAAACCTCTTTCTTGATAGTTGTGACAGGACCCACAGGCATAACACCAGACACAAACATCTCTATGACAATTCCCGAGTCTGACTAAACCTTTACAAAAATTCAATGTGTGTTAAAGGGCCTATAATCTGGAACACCCTACCTGAAAACTCTAAAACTGCAGACACATTCATCACTTTCAAAACTACAGTTAGAAAACATCTTATCTCCCTGATACACCCCGACAACTAACTACATGATAACCACCTGGTGTTACACTCACTCACCCATTAACTATAAACACAGAAATACGAATCTTAATCATAAAATAATGAATCCTAACTAGTCATAAGTTTGCCTATGATACTCCAATATAGACACTATGTATTGTGCCAAAACAAAAGCATTCACATTGCTAAACTCACAAACTATAATGTAGTCACTTAGCCTTAATGCCATAATCTGTAATAATATAAAGTTTACAATTAATCTAAGTCTGCCCAAAATGCCTAGCCATGCTAGGTGTCCTACTGGCCCCCTCTGTAATTAGTATTTTAAAACATGTAAACCACGCAATATCCAAAATCTGTAAACCCCGCATTGTAATCTTTATAGAGAATAAACTTGATTGAGTGATTGATTGATTGATTGATTGATGGAGCTAATAATTGGTCTCACTGGATTACTTGGTTTGTGTGTTTTCATTAATCCATACATTTAGGGTAAATTTACTTCCACTAATCCATCTTTACCTTACATATTTGGATTAATAAAAACACACAAACCAGGTAATCCAGTCAGACCAATTATTAGCTCTATAGGAACAGTTTCATATAAATTATGCAAATGGCTTGTCGACATTTTGAGCCCTATTGTTGGAAAATTTCTAACTTTAATGTTAACAACAACATAGATTTAGTTGATAAATTAAGCACCTTGACCAACTTAAATGATTTTAACATGGTTAGTTTTGATGTTACTTCCTTGTTTACAAAAGTTCCTGTTGATGATTTATTAAGTTTCTTATCTGAAGAACTCGTTAATTATGATTTACCATTGCCAGTTCCTACTATCATTAAACTTATTAAACTTTCCATTGTTGATGCAAAATTTGTATTTAATTTTAAGTTTTCCACTCAGAAGTTTGGTATGGCAATGGGAAATCCTCTTTCACCTGTTCTTAGTAACCTATACATGGAATTTTTTGAAACAAGGTTGCTTAACACAATCCTCCCTAATAGAGCTAAATGGTTCAGATATGTTGATGATATTTTGTGTCTTATGCCCAAAAATGTAGATATACACCATTTCCTTGGTAAATTAAATAGCTTAGTCCATTCTATAAACTTTACTGTTGAGTTTGAAGAAAATAACTCATTGCCTTTTCTAGATGTTTTTAATTATTAAGGGTAATAATGAATTCAAATTTAAAATTTACAGAAAACCTACAAATAACTGTTCCTATGTCCACTATTATTCTTCACATCAAGATAGAGTCAAACTGTCTGTTTTCTCATCAATGTTTTTGAGAACTTTACGTATTTGTAGTCCAGAGTTCATAGATGAGGAAATATCTAAAATTTATGAAATAGCTAATGATCTGAAATACCCAAGAAACGTAATTGATAAATCTTTTAAAATTGCTAGAAATACTTTTTACAATCCAAAAAGGGAAAATCAGCCTTATTCAACTAAAAATCCATTGGTTTTCCATTACCATGAAAACTTGGTTGATATGCCTTCTCTTCTTAAGACTTTTAATATTAAAGTTGTATTTAAAAATCTTGATACAGTAAAAAAAAATTTGGATAAAGAATTCCCTCAAAATGCTGATGGATGTGTCTATAAGATTCCTTGTAAAAATTGCGATAAAGTTTATTACGGACAAACTGGTAAAAATCTCGAACTAAGATTAAAACAACATAAATATAGCATTAGAACTGGACAAGATTCCAATGCTCTATTTATTCATGTAAGAGATTTTAACCATCCAATTAATTTTCAAAAAGTTGAGAAAGTAGTATGAAGCAAGTCCATGGTCGACAAGAATATATTTGAATCTTGTTTCATAAAAAGCAGTTTTGAAAATAATATGAATATTTCCTTTGGTTTATATAAATTAGATCCATTTATAATTAATAAAATTTGGGAAAAATTTAATAATACATTGGACAAATAATAAATCTTAATTCTTGGGTAGAGTACTAGGGTTGGGCAAATATTTTGTTAGTGGGATGTCGTGAAGGACCTGCCTAGTTGGGGCAACAGGCCTGCTGCAGTGTTCCTCCTTTCTTAAAAGTCGGGTGTCGTAGCACATCAGGAGTTGCTTTGTTGTGGGATGTGTGGTCTTGACCCTTTATGTGCCTTCCTTTGATGTATTGTTTTTATAGTTCCTTGATAAAGTGAAAGACACGAAAGTGCTTGGAATTTCACTATTCTTTCACAGTGGGGTTGTTTTTATTATATATATATATATATATATATATATATATATATATATATATATATATATATAATATATATATATATATATATATATATATATATATATATATATATATATATATGCAATAAGATCACAGTAAACAGGTGATTTCAAAATATGCAAAACAACCACTCTGAAAGAATAGAGAAATTCCAAGCGCTTTCGTGACTACTCACATTATCAAGGAACTATGAAAGTGAAGCATCCAAGGAAGCTATATGAGGGGTCGGCAAGCACCTCACTATCAGATCCCACAACGGTTAAACACGTATGTATATGTATATATATATATATATATATATATATATATATATATATATATATATATATATATATATATATATATATATATAATATATAATATATATATATATAGTTCCTTGATAATGTGAGTAGTCACGAAAGCGCTTGGAATTTCTCTATTCTTTCAGAGTGGTTGTTTTGCATATTTTGAAATCACCTGTTTACTGTGATCTTATTGCATATATATAAAATATATATATATATATATATATATATATATATATATGTCGTGCCGAATATGTAAAACTGGTCAATTAGCAAGAACTCATTTAAAATTAAGTCCTTTCTAAAATTTTCTCTTATACGTTTAAAGATATATTTTTTCATTAATGTTAATGTAAAAAATTTTAATTTTGCACCAAAAGAATCTTAGAAAACTTACCTAACCTTATTATAACAAGAACAATTTATTTTAGCCTAACCCAACTAAATATATTTTAGATTTGTTTACAGAAATTTAATACTAAACAAACACAGTGAAACATATTTTTTTCGTTAGGTTCAGAATGATTTTGGCGAAATTATTGCATACACAAATTTTCACTTGTCCTACATGGCAAGATGAACGTTGCTATTTAAGCCAAGATCGCAAATTCTGCCTATTCGGCACGACATATATATATATATGTCGTGCCGAATATGTAAAACTGGTCAATTAGCAAGAACTCATTTAAAATTAAGTTCTTTCAAAATTTTCTCTTATACGTTTAAAGATATATATTTTTCATTAATGTTAATGTAATTTTTTTTAATTTTGCACCAAAAGAATCTTAGAAAACTTACCTAACCTTATTATAACAAGAACAATTTATTTTAGCCTAACCCAACTAAATATATTTTAGATACATTTACAATAATTTAATACTAAACAAACTCAATTAAATATACCGTTTTCGTTAGGTTCAGAATGCTTTTGGCGAAATTATTGCATACACAAATTTTCACTTGTCCTATATGGCAAGATGAGCGTTGCTATTTAAGCCAAGATCGCAAGTTCTGCCTATTCGGCACGACATATATATATTATAATAATAAATATATATATAATATATATATATATATATATATATATATATATATATATATATATATATGCAAAACAACCACTCTGAAAGAATAGAGAAATTCCAAGCGCTTTCGTGACTACTCACATGATATATATATATATATATATATATATATATATATATATATATATATTATATATATATATATATATATATGCAGCCACTTTCATGTTCCAGCGCCTCAGCGTCGCCATCCAGAGGGGAAATGCTTGCTGCATACTTGGCTCACGTCCAGCCTCGGAGGAGCTGGAGGAAATTCATCATCTTTGATACTTTGTGCCATTGTATTCACGTTTATGTTTTTTTCTGTAAATGTATTTTGTTTATTAATATATATATATATATATATATATATATATATATATATATATTATCTTCTTTCAACACACCGGCCGTATCCCACCGAGGCAGGGTGGCCCAAAAGGAAAAACGAAAGTTTCTCCTTTTACATTTAGTAATATATACAGGAGAAGAGGTTACTAGCCCCTTGCTCCCGGCATTTTAGTCGCCTCTTACAACACGCATGGCTTACGGAGGAAGAATTCTGTTCCACTTCCCCATGGAGATAAGAGGAAATAAACAAGAATAAGAACTAGAAAGAAAATAGAAGAAAACCCAGAGGGGTGTGTATATATGTGCTTGTACATGTATGTGTAGTGTGACCTAAGTGTAAGTAGAAGTAGCAAGACGTACCTGAAATCTTGCATGTTCATGAGACAGAAAAAAGGACACCAGCAATCCTACCATCATGTAAAACAATTACAGGCTTTCGTTTTACACTCACTTGGCAGGACGGTAGTACCTCCCTGGGCGGTTGCTGTCTACCAACCTACTACCTATATATATATATATATATATATATATATATATATATATATATATATATATATATATATATATATATATATATATATATATACATAGACCATTTGAAAAAACACTCTGTCGCTTTGTTCCAGGCATGATTGTGGGTATAATAGTGTGCGTGTTCATCGTGACTGGCATTATCTGCATTATCTACCCTCGACTTCGAAGTCTCAACACTCAGAAATCTATAAAGCAGCCGCAAGAACAAAAAGATTAGAATGTCACCGAATGTACAATTTCCCTTAATCCACAAATTATGGATCAGAACCTCTTCAAGGGGGGCTCCTTGTCGTGGTGAAGAGGCTCTTGGTCTGAGGAATTAGACCTGTTCGTCTCCTTCCCCAGACTCTGGTGGCCTGGTGGCTAACACTCTCGCTTCACACGGTGAGGGCCTGGGTTCGATTCCCAGCCAGAGTAGAAACATTGGGCGTGTTTCTTTCCACCTGTTGTCTATGTTCCCCATCAGTAAAATGGGTACCTAGGTGTTAGTTGACTGGTGTGGGTCGCATCCTGGGACACTGACCTAATTTGCCCGAAATGCTGAGCATAACAAGGGGATTTCTATGCAGTAGTATGTCATTGTTGTCAGCTAGGCCTGTATACCATGTGTACATGTACTTGTAGTAAATAAAGATATTATTATTATTATTATTATTATTATAACCTAATTACCCCCAATCCCCCCTTACCTATCCCATCCTCCCCTTTTTCCTTTCCTCCTCCTCCTCCCCACCCCTCCTTTTTGCCCTTCCTCTTTTTGGCCTTTGGGATTTTTTCCCACAGGCGCACTAGTTCCAAGGTAGGGGAAAGGGTACCGGGGTCCATCCCATTCCATTGAGGTTCTTGGTGGTGGCGTAGTTTGCCGTGGAATCTGGATCACCTGGGGATGTCCTGATCCCTCTCCGGTATCCCAGAGGGTGGCTTTGGGTGTCTTTCGGGCGACAGATGTATCTCTGGAAGCCACCTTTCAGATTCCGGGGGTGGTGGCCGAAGGAGGTATGCTTTGTGGTGGATATCCAGCCACCCTCTCTTTTGTCCACCGAGGTAGCTCGGCAGATGTGAGGTTGCTATCCAGGATTGCTGGTTTACCGGCATGAAGGGTAGGATATAGCACGGGTTCCATGCTGCATCTGTGTCACTTGTGGTGCTGAGGTCCTCTTTGGCATGGAGGGAGATTTCTGTCCCTTTCATTCCTCCTAGTAACTATCCCTCCCTGGTCCCCCCTTTTTTATTCTTTTTTTTATTTTTATTTTCTATTCTTCTTTTTTTTTTTTTTCCTCAAAAACAAAAAGAAAGAAGTAGCCTAACCATGGAGTTCCCAATCCATGACCCTGCTACCCCCGGACCCCTTCTTGTTACCGCACCCCGTTCTGGCCTCACCTCATCTTTTGGCCACTCTTTGGACACTCCTAAGGCCCCTGTACCTCTTGCTGGTGCTGTTTTGTCACCTGCTTCAGGTACCGGGGTTTTGACTGACTCCTTCAATTTGTCTGACCTCCACTCTCCTTTGACTATGCTTCCAGCCTCTCCCTCTATGGTGCGGCAATTTTCAAATCGCCAGCCTGTCCCACGTCCGACCAACTCTGGTCCCACTTCAAACGCCAACGACAATCTCCTGATGATGTTACTTCGATACTTTCCCATTCTACTCAGAAAAGACAGACACATCATGCACTCCCTCTCCACACTCAGTTTTGGACCACACAATGGACTAAATTCTTTACTTTAAAACCGACTACTTCTACTGCCTATCTTTCCGACCATAATATTGGCAAAGCGCTCCTATGCCATGTTGGTAGAGATATTTCATTTCATGCTCTCAAGAATGGTATGCGCATCATCACTGTCCAGAATGCTACCCAAGCTCATGATTTTTCTCTCCTTTCGCATATTGATACTACTCCTATCACTATTGAAAAACATCATTGTCTCAATTCTTGTAGTGGTACTGTCATTCTGCCTCATACCATAGTCCAACAGAATTTCCAGACATGTGGCAATGACATTCTTGAACAGCTGGTACTCCAGGACCTCCCAATCCTCAAAGTAGACACTTATGTCCTTCCTGCTCGCGGGCAGAGACGATACCCTTGCAACGTGGCTCAATTAACTTTCAACAGCCGTGAACCCCCGTCCTCTGTTTATGTTGCAGGACATTGGTTACAAGTTCGAAAGGTGATCCCTACACCGCAACAGTGTAGAAATTGCTAGCATTTTGGTCACCCAGCGAAATATTGCAGATCTATAGCTGAATGCCCAGTCTGTGCCAATGACCATTCTAATACGTCTTGCAGTCGACCTCCCTCTTGCCTTAATTGTCATGAGGCTCACGCTTCATACTCTCGCAGTTGCCAGGTCTACTTAAATGAGCGTGAAATCCGTTGCCTCAAAGAAACAGAAGGTCTCCCTTATGCTATGGCAGTTTCTCATCTCTAACTCCAAGGGAGACTACCCCGTGTTTCTTATTCTCGTGTTTCAAAATGTCCCCACACTTCTGGGGTCCTATCTTCTGCAGCCTCCTCTGTTGTTACCCCTCTCATATTCACTTCTGTATATAATTTTTTGCTGTCTTGGGCTCAGACGTCCCTACTTCAACACCTCAGTCTGTTCTGACATCTTCAAGTTCTCACTCACAAGCCCTGGTATCGACAAGATCTCGTACGACACCTAATACCAATCGCCCCTCTACTTCTCAGAAGTCCAAAAAATCCCCTTTGCTCAAATCTTCCTTGCCCCCTCCTTCCCTTCTTCCACCCTCACATTTTACCTTTCCAGTCTCTGTACCTGGTTCTTTCCCTCTCTCTGGCTCTATTACAAGTGTGGAGGTTCAACCCCATCCTCGTTCTGTGCCTCCCTTCCCTGTCCCTTCCCAAGTATCTCCCTCTTCTGCTGCCTCCCAGATTTCTGCCTCTTCTGTCCCCTCCCACACTTCTTCTCCAGTCCCCAACACACTTTCGTCCCCCCCTACTTTAGTACAGTCCATTACTGTCCCAATCTTTACTCACCCTCCTCCTTCTATCTCCAATATTGTCTCCCATACAATGTCTTTGAATCAGAAACACTTGATGCTATTTCAGAATATACTGCAGAGACTAAACCTTCAATGGACACTGATCCACCTCCTGTTCCTTCTCTTCGCTCTGCTCCATCTCCAAAACTCATTTCTTTGCAACACTCCATTCCTTCGCTGCTTGAATGTCTTCCACCGCATGTAGACTTTTCAAACCCCTCTAGTCCATAGGTGCCCTTCCCTATGGATTATAGGTATCTTCCTCGTTGCCAATCAAGGCCCATTTACAGAGGAATATCCGCGGCCTCAGGGATAATCGGGGTGAGCTTCAGATGTTGCTTTCCAGGTTTTTTCCCTGTTGGTGTTTGCTTACAAGAACCAAAATTACACTCAGCTGTTTTCCAACCTATTACCTGGAGTTTACCTGGAGAGAGTTTCGGGGGTCAACGCCCCCGCGGCCCGGTCTGTGACCAGGCCTCCTGGTGGATCAGCGCCTGATCAACCAGGCTGTTGCTGCTGGCTGCACGCAAACCAACGTACGAGCCACAGCCCGGCTGATCAGGAACTGTCTTTAGGTGCTTGTCCAGTGCCAGCTTGAAGACTGCCAGGGGTCTGTTGGTAATCCCCCTTATGTGTGCTGGGAGGCAGTTGAACAGTCTCGGGCCCCTGACACTTATTGTATGGTCTCTTAACGTGCTAGTGACACCCCTGCTTTTCATTGGGGGGATGGTGCATCGTCTGCCAAGTCTTTTGCTTTCGTAGTGAGTGATTTTCGTGTGCAAGTTTGGTACTAGTCCCTCTAGGATTTTCCAGGTGTATATAATCATGTATCTCTCCCTCCTGCGTTCCAGGGAATACAGGTTTAGAAACCTCAAGCGCTCCCAGTAATTGAGGTGTTTTATCTCCGTTATGCGCGCCGTGAAAGTTCTCTGTACATTTTCTAGGTCGGCAATTTCACCTGCCTTGAAAGGTGCTGTTAGAGTGCAGCAATATTCCAGCCTAGATAGAACAAGTGACCTGAAGAGTGTCATCATGGGCTTGGCCTCCCTAGTTTTGAAGGTTCTCATTATCCATCCTGTCATTTTTCTAGCAGATGCGATTGATACAATGTTATGGTCCCTTGAAGGTGAGATCCTGCGACATAATCACTCCTAGGTCTTTGACGTTGGTGTTTCGCTCTATTTTGTGGCCAGAATTTGTTTTGTACTCTGATGAAGATTTAATTTCCTCATGTTTACCATATCTGAGTAATTGAAATTTCTCATCGTTGAACTTCATATTGTTTTCTGCAGCCCACTGAAAGATTTGGTTGATGTCCGCCTGGAGCCTTGCAGTGTCTGCAATGGAAGACACTGTCATGCAGATTCGGGTGTCATCTGCAAAGGAAGACACGGTGCTGTGGCTGACATCCTTGTCTATGTCGGATATGAGGATGAGGAACAAGATGGGAGCTAGTACTGTGCCTTGTGGGACAGAGCTTGTCACCGTAGCTGCCTCGGACTTTACTCTGTTGACGACTACTCTCTGTGTTCTGTTAGTGAGGAAATTATAGATCCATCGACCGACTTTTCCTGTTATTCCTTTAGCGCGCATTTTGTGCGCTATTACGCCATGGTCACACTTGTCGAAGGCTTTTGCAAAGTCTGTATATATTACATCTGCATTCTTTTTGTCTTCTAGTGCATTTAGGACCTTGTCGTAGTGATCCAATAGTTGAGACAGACAGGAGCGACCTGTTCTAAACCCATGTTGCCCTGGGTTGTGTAACTGATGGGTTTCTAGATGGGTGGTGATCTTGCTTCTTAGGACCCTTTCAAAGATTTTTATGATATGGGATGTTAGTGCTATTGGTCTGTAGTTCTTTGCTGTTGCTTTACTGCCCCCTTTGTGGAGTGGGGCTATGTCTGTTGTTTTTAGTAACTGAGGGACGACCCCCGTGTCCATGCTCCCTCTCCATAGGATGGAAAAGGCTCGTGATAGGGGCTTCTTGCAGTTCTTGATGAACACAGAGTTCCATGAGTCTGGCCCTGGGGCAGAGTGCATGGGCATGTCATTTATCGCCTGTTCGAAGTCATTTGGCGTCAGGATAACATCGGATAGGCTATAATTTATTGTACTCTTCAGATCCTTTCTCAGATGGGACCTTTAATGAAAGTGCCCTTCTTCTGCGCAATGATATTCCGTACTGTCAAATATTTATCCATACCTCACTGCATTACACTGCAGCCCATATCCACTTGAATAAGTGGTTTACAATATGTTCTTTATATCTCTCTCCTTCTCAAGCATTTTCTATCCCAGATTTTGCCTTTCTTGTTTCATCCTTACTACCACCACTTCTGTTACATGGCGATTTTAATGCCCACCATTTCCTCTGGATGGGTCTCATTGTGACTCACGTGGCATTCAGTTGGAGGCTTTTCTCGCCTCTCACCCCCTCCATGTTTTAAATATGGGTACTCCCACCCATTTTGATCCTTGTACTCATATTCTCTCTTGCATCGATCTATTGGTCTGCTCTTCCTCCACTGCACTAGACTTTGCCTGGTCTGTTCTACTGGACTTATATGACAGTGATCATTTTCCAATTACTCTTACTTTGCCTTCATATTCACCACCTTTCCGTAGCCCTCAC